TTATCAAATATTTTTTTATGGGTTTCTTAGGGGCGAAAATTTCGTCCGTTTTGCTCTATCGTGTACCGTTTAGGTGCTAGGGGGCATTTCTTGACAAAAGTGAGGTGAAAATGATCAAATGGTCGAGTAAATCGTTAAGAAGACTTCATTTCGAAAAATTGTATAGACACTGCTATTACCTCGTCTCGGGTGTCAGCGCCGCAGGCCTAGCTATATGTGCGCCAGGCGCGTCGCAGCGTAACAGCGTTTCGTGAGATATCGCGAAGCCTGTTACGCGAGACGTGGTCTGGCGTACATATAGCTAGTTTTATATGAGCTCCTTAGGGGTAACTCGTCAAAATTTCGTCCGTTTTGCTCTATCTCTCACCGTTTAGGCGCTACAGGGAGTTCCTATCACGAAAGTGGCCCAAAAATAAACAAATTAATTTTAGAAAATATTAGATGGTCTCCTAAGCGGTAACTTGCAAAAGTAGAGTCATATGGGCGTAAATTTCGTCCGTTTGGCTCTATCTCTAACCGTTTAGGCGCTAGAGGGTCTTGTTTGACGAAAACAAGTAAAAAATTGCTGGAGTGAACAATTAAATGTAAAAGAAGGCCCAGAACCGCAAAAGAGGTAAGAAACTCCCTCCCCCAGCCCAAAAAACGTTTTCTAAGCAGATGGGTGGGTTGTAGTCGCGGTGTTTCACCGTAACATCCCTTTCTCGTGTGTCTACGGAGCAAATTTTAAGGACGACGAGCTTTGCGGGCCGAATGCCCGTCACATCATTTGATTATGTTCTACAGCAAATCGCTTGACAGAAATGGTCGGGCCGCAGGCCTGACCATCGCCGCCGGCAGGCCAAGCAGGCCCGGCCTCTGCCGAACGGAGTTGGCGGCGCAGCGAAGCGAAGCTGGCAACTTCGTTTGGCGGAAGGGCGGGCCTGCTTGTTTTAAATATATATCCACCGCTAGGGCCGATACAGTCAAAGATACGGCATATCCGAGGGTAGGTCCTGATTTAGAATGTGTTGTTTTGGGGGAGTACTTCCTCTGACATTTTACGAATGGACCTCCTTGTACGTCTTTATGGGCTACGTGGTCATTTTCGCCGTGTTTTCGTCGAAAAAAGCACTGTAACGGTGTAAGATAGAGTCAAACGGAGAATTGTTGCCTAAAGGGTTCTGCTTTCACGAGTTACCCCTTAGAAGACCATAAAAAATATAGTTTTTCTGCTGTTTGGACCAACAGCTATTTTTTTGTTCCCCCTTCCAACCCTTAGGGATGGTGGCCAGGCGTTTCGTTGTCCAGGAGTGACCCCTAAGATACCCTGAAAATTGTGGACCTCTAGCTCATCTCCTTCCTCTTACACGGATGGCAGACAGACGGATGGACACGAGAGAGGTTGCACAAGCTCGCTGTAATGGTTTTAAGCCCGCCCTTCTGCTTTGAAAAAGCTATCAAGCGGGCTTATGCAAACGACCTCGTGTCTGTGTGTCTGTCTGTGTGTCTGTCTGTTCCACTAGAAGGAGATGTGCTCCGGGCGAAAATTTCGTCCGTTTTGCTCTATCTCTACCCATTTACGCGCTAGAGGGTCTTTTTAGACGAAAATAAGCTAAAAATTGGCATAGTGAACAATAAGATGTAGAAAAGGGCCTACAAACCGCAAAATAGAAAGGAAACT